CCCCCCCCTCCCCCCCCTCCCCCTCCGCCCGCCTGTACAGCTACCGCAACACGCTGCTCTTGGTGGCCTTAATCTGGCTGCTGGCCGTGGTGGCCATTGTGCCCAACTTCTTCGTGGGCTCGCTGCGCTACGACCCGCGCGTCTACTCCTGCACCTTCGCCCAGAACGTCAGCAGCTCCTACACGGTGGCCGTGGTGGTGGTGCACTTCCTGGTGCCCATCGCCGTGGTCACCTTCTGCTACCTGCGGATCTGGATCCTCGTCATTCAGGTCAGTTGGTTTTTTTTTGGTTAAGTGTGGTGAGAGAAAAGGCAATTGGAATCTTCACAGGAGGGAAGAAAAAAACAAAAACAAATGACGATTCTGGTACAAAAGTCAGAATCCAAGCTGCAGATGCAAGCATCCGTAAATAATCCTCAGCTCAGTGAGCCAAATAACAACAGAGTCCCTCCGGCCTCCCGCGATTGATCCAAACTGGAAGTCTTCTGTGGCACGCGGAAATAACGACCTTTTAATTTGTGACCCTTCCGTCGCACGAGTCAGCATAATTCTGCAAATGCCACAACACGCCGTTTAAACCCTGCCTGACATGTTCACATTTCAGCTTGACCATGTTGATCCGTAACGAGCCAAAATGCAACGCTTTCCTTTACCTGCATCTTTGAGCACGTGTGCAAATGTCAGCACACACGTGCAGAAAAATCAGGCAATGTCTTCAATTCTACTGTTGCTAGAGTCAAAATATGATCTGAGATACTCTAACTAACAGCTTAGATTGATGTAAAATCATCCGTGACAATTAGTTTAGATGGGCATGAACACGAATAAGACTGAGATAATTTAACCCAAAAAAAGCCAAATAAAAGCAATGCACTCACCCAGAGTAAAAGTGAAAAAAATGCTAAAATACCGATTTGAAGTCTCATTTTTTTTAGGAAAAAAAATGTCCTTTTAGAACTACAAAGTCGTGAACAGAACACCAGATTTGTTTTTAAATTTAGACCCCCAAAAAAATCATAAACTTACGCCCCCAAAAAACATTTTAACGTTACAAGAAAGAAAAAAAAAATTAAAGTTAGACTTTCCTTGTACAAAAAAAAAAAAAAAAAAAAGTCAATCTCATGACAGAGAAAAAAAATGCTACTTCCATTTGTGGAAAAAAAACTTGTACTACTTTTAAAAAAGAAAAATCAGAATGTTACGAGTAATTGCTTGTATTTGACACATTGATTCTTTTTTTGGCTGGTCGGTGCTTTTAGGTGCGTCGCAAAGTGAAGACGGAGGAGAGCCCTCGCTTGCGTCCCAGCGACCTGCGTAACTTCATCACCATGTTCGTGGTGTTCGTGCTGTTCGCCATCTGCTGGGCGCCGCTCAACCTGATCGGGCTGGCGGTGGCGGTGGACCCGTTGCGCGTCGTGCCGCTAATCCCCGAGTGGCTCTTCGTGGTCAGCTACTTCATGGCCTACTTCAACAGCTGTCTCAACGCCGTCATCTACGGCCTGCTCAACCGGAACTTCCGCAACGAGTACAAGCGCATCGTCACCTCCGTCTGGGTGACGCGTCTCTTTGTCACCGAGACGTCGCGGGCCGCCACCGACGGCCGCAGCCTGCGCAGCAAGCAGTCGCCGCCGCCACCGCTCAACAATAACGAGTCGCTTCGGGATCGAGCCAACAACAAAGACTGAGCATTGTTACCGCGGCAACGCCAATGGAACAATCCGATTAGTTGCACATGAACTGCCTGATAAACTTCCAAAGCCTCAAATATGTCCGACTCGCATCACTTGAATGCCAGTTTAGTTTAAAAAAAAAAAAAAAAAGAAAAAAACGGAAATGATTATCAGGGTGTTGTCCTGTGCCAGAATTTAGTAGGAAAAACATAGAAACTACTCCCAAAAAAAGTTCCAGGAACTTTTAGTTTTTCTTTAGCCAACATTTGTGACAGAATATAGGCTTGCCCTGTCAAAGTATTATTATTGTTATTATTTATTTATTTTTTTTTGTAAATGGAAATTTTAACAATGTTGCCAGCATGCTAACAGTAGTTGTGCCAGCATATAGCAAGATAGCACACTGGCTACAAAAAAATAAATAAGACCCAGTGATTAAGATTTTTCATTGCGCCCTGTGGTTGGGTTCAAATAACAGCTAACAGTTAGCATGCTAACACCATTCATGCTAACACAAAGCATCACGACGGGGGGAAAAAAAAATCACCAAGACATATTGATAAATCTTTTACAGGGTGCTCTATGGTCGGGTCAGTCATTATGATAATTTATGAAAAGCACTAAGTAAGGTCAATGTTTTACATCGTGCTCATACTATTTCAAAGGGGAATTGATAAATTACTGGCATGTTCATAGTTAGCATGCTAACAAACTGCTTTGGAACCTTATCATTCATTTGGAAGCATCCTGTGCCTCTGGATTGCGTACTAATATGGAATAGTCTAATGGGATTGTAAATTGCTTAGATGGAGTTGGTATGTTAACATATAGCATGATAACTACCTACATTGGACCCGTAACATTCATTTCTCAAGTGGTCTGACTCGCCTCACTTGAATACCATTTAAGTCACACAACCAGGGAAGATCATGAGGGTGCTGACCTCTACTCTTGCCAGAATTTAGAAGGAAATGTTACAAAAATTTCTAGGAGTTTTTAATTGCTTTTAGTACTCCTTGATATAAGCCGCTAGCTCTTATGAACACATAAGGGGACATTTGTGACAGACTACAGGCTTCCCCTGTAGACAAATATGAAAACAATGCTCACAATAACTAGCTCACTGGACTGGGTGCTACTGAAGCCTCAAATGCTTAAAAAGCCTACACAAATGCTGTTATGCTAACAGTTGTTGTTCTTGTGAATAGCAAGAGAGAAAGTGGAGTACAAAAAGTGCTGATACGTTTCTGAGGATTTGATGTCATATCATATTTGGAACCTTAATGTTCATTTGAGACCTCAATAGACTGAGATGTGCTAATATGCTAAAAAGAGGACTGAGGGTTGGTCAAATGCTAACGTAAATGTGCTCATATTTGGTATGCTAGCGCATAGCAAGACTCTATTCTTTGGGCTCAGATAGAAATGTTGGATTGTTTTGTTTTGTTCTGTACAAAATCCTACTAAATTCTGGCAATAGTGTGAAATGAGTGTTTGGCATGGCCTGTTGTAATGTATATGGAGCCGAAATGTAGACAAACTTAGTAATTCCCAATCAGGAAATTGTTCTCCACTCATGATGTGTAGGTGAACATGGCTGCTCGTGTTACCAAACATACATGGCTGCCTTGATGTAGCATCTCGAGGATGCTGCCCATTGGACAATCTGTCAATTCAAGATTAGAATTGTAGATTACGTTGTTGCATTTGAATTCTTACTGTGATGAGGCTGAAGCATTTTATTTCAAATGTGGACATTTAACAAAGAAGCAAGAACTAAATCAGTCAAATAAATGTTTTTTTTAAAATTATTTTATGTTTTAGCAGTTTCTTTGTCTATTTAATTTATTTTAATGAAATGAGGACTGAATAAAAATGAAATCAGCAAATTTATAATCTAAAAATACTTGATTATTTATTTGGTAAAGTTTTTTATAAATAGAGAAGAAATTTAAAATTAAACTACTGAATTGAATTACCAAATGTATTTTAACTGACATATACTGTTTTAAAAAGGTAATAACGATATTGTTGAAACACATTTTAATGAATAATTTAGTTCATTAATTCAGGAAAATAACTTTTTAAAATAAAAATAACATTTTAAATTGAATCAATCCTACTACTAAACTGTAATAATAATACCTGAATGTAGTCTAATTTTGTAAATGAAACTTTCTCTTCTGCATCACACGCAGTCCCTTCATAGCCCTAGATTTTTGTGCTTTATTTATTTTCATATGAATAAAACATTGTTCTTGTTAGTCAATGACATTCATTGCCGCTTCTCGCCATCTCAGGGCGCCTTTTCTTGTTTGTTGTTTGTTTGTTTTTTTTCAAAAATGTAACGAGGACATTTTGTAAATTAGTGTCAGTGTGGAATTTGAATTGTTGTCAATGGACGTGTTTTTATGGAAATGTTTTTAAAAGTCTCTCTCACACCGGTGGGAGTTCATGTCACGCCATTAAAAGTTTACTCCTCGCTTCTGCTTGACCTGTGTTGCCCGGGTACTGATCACTTCCGCGTTCGCGTGCGTCCTTGGCGGCGCATGCGCAGTCACCGCCGCCGCGGCAAACTAAGAAGTCAACCGGTGAATCTAAAACGGGAACTGAAACACGCGTCCTCTGTTTCCGAACGCACGGATTTACTCCGTCATGGCGCGTCCTGGACCCTGTGGACTCTGTGCGCCACGACACGACTGCCCTGCGCGGCAAGAGGCATGCGCACCTGTTGTTGCTCCCACAAGAATTGCGTTGAACTGGATTTCCTCTGTCCCACGGAGACTTGGACAGGTACCGGTCGAGTCGAGTAGCCCTTCTTGGACTCCCCGAGGACTTCAGGCCGCGATGGAGTAACGGTGAGTACTTTTACAAAACAAGACTTTTTGAAATCTTCTTGCCGAAATCAGGCCCAAGTTTGATCATATCCTCCTCAAGGGGGATTTTAATATTCACGTGGGTTGTCCTGAAAAATCACTCGCAAAGGACTTATTGATTCCTTTAATTTTATGCAATATTTGACTAGCCCGACACATAAACAAGGACATACTTTAGACCTAGTTCTTGCTCACGGTCTACCGTTGTCAAACTTGAAAGTCTTGGACAATGTGATTTCCTGTAACATGGCAGTTTTCTTTTGATGTCATATTTACTTGGGCTGCGGTTAAATCTGCCGCTCCAGAGTGCGGCTGCCAGATTTTTAACCCTCTCACTGCCGGTAGGTTCTCTGAAGCATTTGATGAGCTTTGGGTCCCCTCTTCAATGACAGAGGAACTCACCTCTTGGTTCCACTCATCCCGCCGTGCTGTACTGGATTCGGTGACTCCATTAAAAAAACTGTGCAGTCCAAAGCTAGATGCGAGACTTATCTCGGTTGGCCCGATGGTCCAGTGGTTAGCACGTCGACCTCACAATGCAGAGGTCGTGGGTTCGATCCGGGCCCCCAGCCTTCCTGTGTGGAGCTTACATGTTCTCGCCATGGCTGCGTGGGTTTTCTCCGGGTACTTTGGTTTCCTCCCACATTCCAAAAACATGCATGGCGGGCTGATTGAACACTCTAAATTGTCCCTAGGTATGAGTGTGGATGCTTCTTTCTTTTCTGTGTGCCCTGCGATTGGCTGGCAACCGGTTCAGGGTGTCCCCCGCCAACTGCCCGAAGACAGCTAGGATAGGCTCCAGCAACCCCTGCGACCCTTGTGATCGAAAAATGGATGGAAAATTTAGGCTAACCACCGTTACAACCTGCGTGTACTATTTCCAAGTATTTTTTTTCTGTACTGAAACCCCTTCAGCCTATTTGCTCAGATTCTTCACCTCCAATAGATTGCTGCAGTTTTTCGTTGATGAGGTTTCTCCAAGTTGCCTTTTATTACAAAAAAAATGCGGAAAAGTGTTGCACATGCAGTTCAAATCTTTCTCAGATGAACCTCACGGAGATCTTCCAGTCAGGTTTAAAGATGATGCATAGCACAGAGTCAGCCCTGTTGATGAGTTTTTAATGACATCCTCCTGGCAAATGACAGTTGGAGACGATTATCAACATAAAAATGTGTGATTCCCAGTTTTGCTATTCAACGCGTTTCAATGAAGCCCAACAAACGGCTTTCTTTCAGACTTGTGTATATATATATATATATATATACACCCCCCCCCCAAAAAAAAATTGAGATCAAAATCTAATAGTCCAGAGTCATATGCTATATCAGCTAGCACACCGAATATAATGTAAAGCTCACATAAACCTCGATATGTCTTTTTACGTCCTCTTATGAGCCCTTGCAGTTCCTCTGAGGTGTGTTTTTACTTTTAGAAGCCAAAGGAGAGAATTTTGGCTAACGGGATTAGTATTTCATGGAGTCAACTTTGCAAACACCTGACAGCCAACCCCCACCCCCGCGCCCCCGCCGCCCCGCCCCCAACACACACACACTGTGACATTCTGATGCCTGCAGTCTCGCTGCACGTGTCCTAGTAAACATGTTGTGGACAATTTACACAGGCGAAGAATGAAAAAAAAACATCATCTCTCACTCCGAGGCGCTCTCTTTGTCGCTCACCCATGGCCAAAGTGATGTAACGATGCTCATGGACGCCTCGTATGCCACCGCAAACAAATAGGGCGCAACGGACGCTTTCAGTCGGCACGCGCTGCGTCAAATGTTGCTTAAAGAGCGGCACAACATGCCCACTGCGTAATTAGGGATGAATTATTAAAGGCACACGCTGGAGCTTATGAAGTGGTTATAGAGAATGACGTATTATTGATTGCAGTCGGAATGTTTAGTTCGTGTCGATGCGTTGGTGGAAAATTAATCCAGACGGTTTATTTTTATTAAATTTCACATTTTTGGAAGTACGAATTAAATTTATAGTATTTTTTTCTTAGATTTTTTTTCTTCTTTTTTTCTGCTTAGTCTTATTTTTTATTTTACCTTATTCGATTTAGTTTCATTTTCAGATCTTATTCTATTTTGTTTTGTTTTTATTTGTTTGTTTGTTTTTTTTAAATTTAAGTCATTCAACTATTTGATTTTACTTCTACTTCCACTAATTTCTTTTCCAAGTCCCTTTTTTCTGGCTTTTGATTGGCTTGGAGGTAAGGTGAGGGCCGTTATAGCGCCACCTGCCATAAATGTCTGGCATTGCCCCTCATCAGCATTCTAGACCTTTGCTTTTCATTCATTTTTTTGGGGGCGGCGAGGGCGGAAATGTTTGCTGCTGCGTTGTGGGTAGGGATGCTTGCGTCGCGCTCGACTGCCGCCGCTCTCGGCTGATGTTCACTGACACGAATTCTCCGACAGGTGCGGCGCCCGCATGCCCTTACAACGCTGCGAGTGAAAACATGGACCAAAGGGGGTAGGGTGGGGTTGGGGGGGACGTGTGGGATGTGATGCACTCGAACGTAATGTGACAGGTTCAAAGGCTTGCCTGTTATTGCGAGACTCGTTACGGGCTGCCGCCTGGATGGGTGCAAAAAAACCAAAAGCTACGTCTTTCCTGCGCTTCATGGAGAATATTTCATCCACTTTAGCGGTGTATGTATGTATGTAGGTATGTGTGTGAATAAATGGTCTGTCGGGAGCGCCGACAAGTCCGTGACAAAGATCGCGCTTGTCCGAATAAATCACATCTCTCACTTTAATTGCATCTAATGCACAGATTAGCGATTTATTCGGGGAATTAGATGAACATGTTTTAATGCCGGTGTTCATTATGTCCGCAAACAATATGGCAGCTCCCATCCCGACGGAAAGGACACGCGCTCATTAAAGCGAGCTGGCCTGCTTTATGTAACTTGCAAATATGATGAGCGAAATGCCAGGCAGATTAGCTGTGCCGCGACATTGGATTTGCCTGTAATTAGTGGATTGATTGGACAATTCATTAGGTATACCTGAGGTCCCCCGTTTTAAATTTATTTATTTTTTTGTTGCTCAAGGAACCACAAAGAACATATTTTGTGGGTTAAATTCTCACCATTCCAACTCTATTGGCCACCTGGGTGCAGTATAATACAGACACAATTGCACTGTAAGCTGTAGTAGTGCCGGTTGTTCTTCGCAGAGGATAAAGAATACATAGGTTGTGACTACTGTTTCTTTGTCCTCGTGTTGCTCCGTCTCTTTGAGTTCAGAAATCCGTTGCGTGAAGGGTCATAACACCCTGACGGCGATGCTATTCATTAGCCCGTCAAGGGTGTTTTGCATTTTTTTCGTTAGCATTAAGCTAACCACCGTATTGATATTTGATCCATCTATATCGATATTTTATTTATAATTTTAATAGATAATGATACAAGTGGAGTTTCATTTAAAATAAAAATCAGTGAGAGGACTGGAGCTAGTTTTTAAGTCCTCTGCTTTTTTACTTTGAGCTTAATTTAGCGTAGCTTTGCTGACTGCTGTGTTTTGCTCACAGTGGTTGAATCGACGCATGGGCACCTTTAAAACCCTTAAGAGAATTAATTAGCACGGTGGATGGAATTAATGCGGCTGTCTTTTGTCCCGCGCGTCCTTTTCACATGAAATATGGATGAACTTTTGAAAAGCGGCCACTCTGAAGGGCCCTTCATGTTAGCACCACCACGGTTCTCCAACGCGGAGCCGATGACGTCCATCTTTTCACTGCATAATTTTTTTTTGGGGTGGGGGGTTATTGTGTGCAAATGTCATTAAAGAGTCATCTCGCCTCCTTTTTGTGTTGCTTGAAATGCATTTTTGACACATGCAAGTCCCCCCCCCCTCTCCCCACATTCATTTTACATGCTGTGCAAGGAGATGGTTGGATTTTTCAGCCAATCGTCAAACTTTCAAGCGTTACAAGTCCGATGGAAAGGGAAGACTCCCATTGAATTTGGACGATTTGTGTCTTTTCGGGTATGGCTTCTTGGGAGTTTTTTGTGGTACCAAATGCCATGCTGCTCAGTGAAACTCAATTTGGGAGCTGGGGAAAAAAAAAAAAAGTAATTGAACTTCACTGTTGATTTAAACCAAAAGGGATGAATTCCTGTGGCTTCTCATAATAGCTACTAAACTTCATAGTCGCTAAGTAAAACTGGCTTTAGGGGGTGAATTATCGCAAAAATGTGTGTGTTTTACATGCGAGAGAAACTGAAACCAACCAGAATCATCAACACGTTGCCGCAGTAATTAAAATGGTCAAAATGTAATTTCAGTTTGCTTGTAGGTGAAGTTCCGCGGGGCTGTCTGGGCGTCGAAAAGAAAATTAAAAATGAAAACGGCGATTTATGTCAAAAGCAGGATTGCCTGACTGCAGGAGGGCTGCGCGGCATATCAAATATGAACCATGAAAAGCCCACCAGGATGACAAATTGTGTATGGAGACGATCCCAAAAAGGTAATAATTGATGTCGGCACCCCTCCAAAAAGTTTCGTTTCTGATGTGTCACCATCACAAAAAGGGATCACTTTCATTTTTTTTTTTTCACCTAGCTGGCATTAAACTTAAAAGCATGACGTACCCAAAGTGAATTAGAAAAATCTCTTATTTTCCGGTAAGTCATTAGCACGTTGACACTTGTCATTTGTATTTAATTTTTTGCACTTTTTTTCCCCACATGAAGCTACATTCATTCCCTTTAAAATATATATTAGTCTTTCCTGTTTATAATATATATTTAATTAATATTTCATATAGATTATGAATGTTGATGTTGTAGACAAATGTTTCTTGTGGGTTGACATCATAACGTAAGAAGCGATACCACAAAGCCTCTTGGCTCAAATGGGTATTAAAATCGATCCGGTCCCGGCCTGTTTATAGTGTATGTAAGGGGGCAATATATTTCCTTTAATAGCGTCCGTTTGAATATAGAATAACAACTCGAGGATCGTTTGAT